GCACTTGACTCACTGGACGATGCACTTGACGATGCACTTGACTCACTGGATTCACTTGACTCGGCATTTGACTCACTGGATTCACTTGACTCGGCATTTGACTCACTGGATTCACTTGACTCGGCATTTGACTCACTGGATTCACTTGACTCGGCATTTGACTCACTGGATTCGGCAGGGCTTACATGAGGCGCAGGCTCGGCGGGGCAGACGAGAAGTTGCGGGGTCGTCTGGGCTCACGTGAAGCTCGGGCTCGGCTGGGCAGACGAGAAGTGCGGGCTCGGCGGGGCTCACGTGAAGCTCGGGCTCGACGGGGCTGGACCGGACCAGCGGCGAAGACGACGACGAGGGCTTCGCGGGTAATGTGAACTCGGGAGGTGTCGAGTAGAACAAGCCTGTAATGGAGAAGAGGTCTTCCAAGGAGCAAGCCTGAGCGATATACCGGTCAAGAGTCCAGTTGGTAAGTTCCCGCGGCATCCATAGAGCGATGTCATAATCCAGCCCGTTCCAAAACAGGCCCATGAGCTGGATATCATCTAGCGCTCCCAGATGGCAAATGGACAGAAAATCCTTCGCGTACCTTTGGACGGACTGGCCCTCTTGCAATAACGTCGACAGGTATTCTCCCAGAGCCCGGTTGCTGACAACTGCTGGATCCATTTCGTGGTGAGTTGTTCTGTGACGATCTGTAACGTGATGCGGTGAAGGCAGATAGGAGGCTGGATCCAAACGCAATGTACAGGCTTTATTTAGACGAACTACAAACCTAGACAAAGACTCAGAATCAGAAGCGACCAATGTCGACATCAAACATTCAACAACTCACCAACTTAGGGCAAAAACACAGGCCTTAAATAATCAAAGACAAACGAGCTAACAGGATAACAAGGGGGCGTGGATAATAAGAAACACCTGGGATAACTAAAAGACAGGTCAGGGAACCACTGAACATGAAAAGACAAGACACAAAACCCACATCATGACACACATGAACTGTGCGTTTTCTGTCTTAGAGAAGAGCACGCACAGGCAGTTCTCGAGGGATCTGCCTGTGCAAATTGTGAGCGTTTTCCTGGCCCTATTCTCGAGTGAAGAGCGCTCAGCGTCTGGACCTCGCGGCTCAGGTCCCGCTCGTGCTGAGGCAGAGCGGCGACGTGCGTCATGGGGTTCTCAGATGGAGCTCGCCGATCGCCTTGAGAGGGGTGTAATCCTCTCAGACGATTTGGCGGCTGACGAGGGTGAGCTGAAGGTGTATTCTGACTTTTCCCCTCCTAGTCCGGCAGCGAGTGCTCTTCCGGACGAGCAGGAGATGATCCCTGCCCAGTGTATGCTGAGCTGGTTGCAGTTTTGGAACATGCCACGGGCAGACTAAAGCTGCCGTGGCGGCGCTGGGGGAGACTGCTCGCGGTAGACTGGATGATTGGTTTCTCCCCGGCCATAAACCACCAGCTCAGGTGAGCCTTCCATTCCCCAAGTTTGAAAATTAAAAAACATAATCACAATTTACTGACCAAGTACATTCACACATGTTTAGTTTTATTTGGTGCTTGTTCACACAAATGGGACAGAGCAGAAGAACGGCAGTGTTACAAGGAGCATACATTTATTTTGTTTCGGTCTTACCCTGCCATGCAATCACAATGGGCTGCCAGAATATTTCCATCACTTTTGACAGCAACCCAGGTGTTGTGAGGCTTCTCTGTGACCCTATAGGATGGCTTGACTTGGGTCTTAAAAATGGTACTACTGTCAGATCCTTCAGGTTTAAAATGATGGATTGTCTGCACCCATCCATCTGTAAAAAATATGTGCGCTTCTAATGATTTGTTGTTTTTAATTTTCCTTGCCGTGTAAATTCTTATAAATGAAACAACACCATCATTAAAATAAAGTATGATCTACTCTTCACAGCACAGCAGGCTAAACATTATTGAACAATATTATCTCAATAATAATGTATTGCATGACATCTCAAGCTTGATTAGAAAGCAGGACACTAGCAACCTTAAACATACAGTTTAAGTTATGTAAGCTTCCCACAACTCCAATATTTTACAACCTATCATGATCATCGTGTTATTTTAGATAGATAACTGCTGGGCTGTCTTAGTGTATGTCCGTTATCAACTAGCCCAGGCTACCTGCCATCATCATCCTGCTATCTTAGCATGCTATCGAAAGCTAAGTCATAGTTGTATGGCTGGTGTTACACCCCGTCTAGAAAATTGCACTCAGTTCTCTAAATCTAAAGACATAATATATACATTTAAAGATGTTTACTTTCAAAAACGAAGTAAAATCATTCACTGGCTTACCTCGTGACTCGATGAGGTACGACTAAATGTCCGGGTAAGACACCTCTGGCCACTGGGTGGGGTTGTTACACCAATTTAATGCTGGGAGAATGAAGGGACATGTTTTTAAATTGACCAAATTAAGTTTGTGGATGTATCTTTCACGCTCTATGGCAGCCAGGGTGGACATATAATTACTTGATTAGTTTAATCTTACTGATTTCTTAAGTTATTCACGCCTGCCGGCTGTGTAAAGATGTTGTTTTGTGCCGCTATTTTGTATTGAAGTCTATGGGAAGTCTAGTTTATTTTCCACTAAAAAGGGGCGGTGACGAATTTGACAGTTAAGTTCCCGGATGTGCCGGTAGTATGTATACAAAAAATGTAAAAACACTGATACCAAGCACCCCATGGTCCTATGAACCATTAATACATAGGCTAGTTACTAAAAAGGACAAAAACAGTAAGTGATTACAACATGATAGTCAAACATGTGGGCTACAGGCATTATGTAGAATTATGCAATGAAATGATTTTTGACAATAAGTCCTCTTAGCATCATTTTGGAATAATCTGATGCATTTTGATGTTTAAAGATAAAGAGCCAGAGACAAATGTCAGAAGGACTTGCTGAGATAAGGCTGTTACTGGTGGGGTACATGAGCACTAATTTTCCAAAGTAAAGTAGGCTACATGTATAGTAACGTATACATATATGTGACTGAATTGATCATTGTCCATTCTCACTGTCTTTTATTTATAAAAGTAATTCTGTGCACATCCCACCTTCTGGCAGGTGCAGGACAAAAGGAACTTACTAAAGTGAAAAAAATGTAATGACCCAGCAGTCGAAACGTTGCCTTTATATTAAATATGCGAGTTCAAAGCAGTGTTGTGGACATTACATTTTTTTCATTCTCACTGTCTGCCAGGGAAAGTTCAGTGGAGAAGGATTTGGCATTTCTCTCACTCCTCCACTTTCACCTCCATCTCGTTGTCACGCGCTGGCTAGAGATGATGATAATCCAGATTCACAAGGCTTGACACAGAATAATGATGAAATCACATTTAATAAATACAAGGAACATTAGCGAGAAACGCCAGCATGACAAGTTAACATAAGACAAAGAAAAGAAGATAAGTGAGGGTATAAATCCACAGGATGATGAGTAACAGGTAAGACACTAATCAATGAAACAATGAATAACTATGGTAACCACAAAAAACATTAACTAAACACACAACTGAATGCAAGCAATGTCAAAATAAGAGTTCATGAACAAGGACACAGAGGAACTGTATCACTTGTCTACAAATTTTAGCACTTTCTGCATTGTTTGAATCAGAATAAATATGAGGAAATTATGGTAAATCTTATGTTTAAGAAAATCATCTTGTCATCCTACTGTTTTCATTTAACCTACTGAACCTATTAGAGTACATTTGAGGTGTCTCTGTTAAATGGGTATATGCATGTCACATAACAGAATAATGTACTGTATTTACAGAATCAGTAGGCCCACACTATTTTTATGCATATTACAAGGCAGAATTAGAAATCCTATCGGTTATTAATATTTTTAATATTGGCTGTTAAATTTCATTTCAATTTCCATATTTTCATCCTCATCTATGAGTAAAATTACTTTCTCTTTTACTAAATTGTACTGTATAATACCAGATAATGGCTTGAGCCATGTGGACTATTAACATTTAAAATACAATTTCTGTTATTTCATGTAATGTTGTATTATTTTTAAAAAGGTAAGTTCACATTTGGAATATATATCAATTATAACCAAACCATACAATTCAATTCTAAATTCTAAATATATATAAATTATAACCAAACCATACAATTCAATTCATACAATTCAATTCATTTCAATTTCCTTATTTTCACTCTCATCTATGAGTAAAATTACTTTCTCTTTTACTAAATTGTACTGTATAATACCAGATAATGGCTTGAGCCATGTGGACTAATTTAAGATAACATTTCTGTTTTTTTCATGTAATGTTGTACTATTTTTAATAAGGTAAGTTCACATTTGGAATATATATAAATTATAACCAAACCATACAATTCAATTCTAAATGGTTTGGAATATCTTAATTAGAACAGGTGAACAGTACAGTCTATTAAATGAACATTTGCTAAACCTTATATGCAAAAAAGAAGTTTGATGTGTTTTAATGCTCATTTAGAGGGCAATACAATTTACTTATTGAATAAGTAAATTGTTACTTATTCAATAAGCCTTCTGAGAAGGCCTTCACAGAGCCTTCTCAGCTGCTGCACCAACTCTCTGGAACGCCCTCACCGACCACATCAAACAGTCAAGCTCCTCAACATCCTTCAAACAGGCCCTCAAAACTCACCTCTTTGAACTTGCTTTTTCCCATTAACAGACTTTTCTAATTCCTCATCCTTTTACGCCACCTCTCTTGAATTACCTGTAAAGCGTCTTTGAGTGTCTAGAAAAGCGCTATAAAAATTGAATGTATTATTATTATTAATAAATTAATTTATACATCAGGAAAATTTATTACATTTAGCATATTTTATTAAATAAAATAATTTCACAAATATGTAATTGATTCGGATTGAAAGGGCTAACACAGCCAAAAAAAACAAACAGTATTACTGTAATAAAGTAATTTCAATATATATTTTTTAAAATTTGTTCATAGGTTGTTCTCTATTCATATGCTCACTTTCATATCTCTAATTTTTTTCTTTAATGCATCTTTGATATCCTTGGTTCTGAAGCAGTATATCATGGGATTGACAACAGGTGGGAGCAGACTGTACCACATTATTAACATAACCCGGATGCCAGGTGAGATGCTCACATTTATCACATCATGCACATAAACAACACATCTGGGCACATAGTACAGGCAAATGATAAGAAGCTGAGGAGTGCAAGTTGAGAATGTTTTATATCGGGCCTGAATGTCTGAGATTTTGAAAACACATGTGATGATGGCCATAAAAGAAAATATAATGAAAATTAAAGGGCCCAAAAGAACAAACATAGCACATGAAAATGAAACAAACTTTTTCTGCCTTACATCTCCACAAGACAGATTAATAATTGAATTTTGGTCACAGTAATTTTGGGTTATTACATTAGAAGAGCAGTAGGGTTCATTGAAGGCATTAAAAACAATGATTGACATCCACGATATACAGATTGCCCAAATCACAGCACATGCCATAACAATAGTTTTGTTTGTAATGAGGACACAGTATCTCAGTGGGTTACACACTGCAACAAACCGATCAATTGCCATTAATAGCATTAGGAAAGAGGCAATACTCCCTAAATAGTGAACAAAAAACATCTGCACCAAGCAGCTATAAAATGATATCTCACTGCTATTAAAAAAGTATTTTGCAATGGCTTTAGGCAGCGTGACAGTTCCAAAAGCAAGATCACACACAGCAAGATTACAGAAGATTAAATAGGTGGGTTTCTGAAGGCTTCTCTCACAAGAAATAAAAGAAATAATAAAGATATTTCCTCCTGTCAGTGTCAAGTAGACAAAGAACAAAAGGGTTCCCACAGCTCCATAATACTGTGGATGGAGTCCTGGAAATCCCAGCAGGTAGAATTCAGTAAAGACAGTGACATTGGTGTTGATCATGACTCTATACGGCTTCAGAATGACCTCATACAGCAAAAATGTTAAAAAAGCATTGACTTTTACAAAAGCATTTGACTGTCAAGGCAAAATAAAGCAACATCCAAACATTTTTAACAATTACTGACTTTATAAAGTACAGATTATATTGATAAGATGATAGTTCACATACAGTACATACCTCTGTGGAAACTATTTAGATTTCAATAGCATAATCTATTAAATTTGCATTCATTTGACTTTGACCACCAAACTGGAGAAGTTTCACTGAATCACCAATTGTATTAATGCACAAACAAAAAAATAATCTGTCGTGTGCATATGCCATAGGTATGACATAAATTGTCCCTCTCTCTGTGGATCCATCTGACAACGAAAAAGACACTGTTTATCATCACTCTCCAAAACCAAAGACACCTCCCCACAGGATGACGTGTTTTTGGAGTTTCTCCAGTCTCATTGCTGCATGGTTTTCTTTTTTTTTTTCATGGAAACAGTTTGATTTCTTTGACAACTCTAACATGCTTGAGTCTTGCTGTAGTTTGAAATAAAACCTCATAATCCCTTAAATGGCATGATATATTGAGTGACCACAATTGTTGACAGTCTACAGTAAGAGCTATGAAGTAGCATATAGCTGAGATACAAATTTTTGAGTTGAGAATAGGCCAAAACAGTTTAAAATTAAATTACTTTAAATTTAACAACTCAATTTTAATTATTAGTTTTAATGAGTGCATTAGTAATTCATTGGCATGAGTCTATGCTTCTCCATTCTCAAACAAGTATGTAACTTCCCACCATCACAATACTCATTTTCAGTCAGACTATTCAGGTCCATCGGGAAAAAAAAATCACCTGAAAGTTCCATGAAATACTCCAATCCCCATTACCAAATGAGCCAAACACCACCAGGAAATAAAGAAAAAAAAATATTCAATGTACATGCACTATATTACTCTTTCACTTTTATAATCAGCATGCATTATCTAATATATTTTAACTAATTGAATATTATTTGGTCCACAGCTTGCCATATTTTAATCATGTTCCTTTTAACTGAGTAAATTTAATTGTCACAGTGAACAGATTTTTGCTAAGCATCAATAAATGCATTTTAAAAATATGATTATTTATATAAAAGTCAAATAGATGCAAATAGTTAAAAGTAATCTATGCCATGATTTTTTTACCCCTTTCTTCCCTGTTTCAGTTATGTATTACTCTCAAATATGCATCACATTTTTATTAGTTAATTTCATTTTGTTGTGTAATTCAAATGGGTGTGAATTTTGGTAACACTTTACAATAAGGTTTCATGAGTTAACTAAGAATAAACAATAATTCTACAGCATTTGTTAATCTTAATGTTCATTAATACAATAAAATGTTGTATTTGTTAACATTAGTTACTGTGAACTAACATGAACAATCAATGAACAGCTGGATTTTTATTAACAAAGATTATTAAATAATATATAATGTATTGCTCATTGTTAGTTAACAAGACCTACTGGAATCTGTTTTATGCTTCCAGTATTATCTGATCTGTATTAGGAATATGAGGATATTATCTAGAGTTTGACAACAGTTTGTACAGCTCAAGGGATAAAGCACATTAGAGCAGCTGTAAAGGAATAGAAATTTGTTTCTTTTTAAATAGATCTCCTAATGCATTTTTTACCTCTTCTGTTCTCAAACAATAAATAAGGGGGTTGATCATGGGTGAGAGTAGGTTATACATCATAACAATGACTAATCGCAAATCAGTACTGAACTTTATACCAATGTTGCCAAACAAAAAAATAAAACACCTGGGTAGAAAATAGAGAGCAATTATGATGAGCTGAGGACTGCACGTGGAGAAAGTCTTCATCCTTCCACGAGGACTTGAAATTTGCATAACTGCTACAAAGATTAAGCAGTATGAGAAAACAATAATAGCACCAGTACTACAAGGGCATAAATGAGAGCTGGAACACTATACAGTGCTCTGTCTGTGCATGCCAGTGTTGTAATGGAAACGTGATCACAGTAACAGTGTATAATGGTGTTTTCTGCACAATAAGGAAGAGGGTATGCTCGAATGACTATCATTAAGGGCCCTACTAAACTCAAAACCCAAGAGCCAAGGATCAAAATGAGTACATTTCTGTTTATCATGAAACTATGATATTGAAGTGGGTAACATATTTGTCAGGAAAACGAGAGAGAAGGCAATAGCAGGTAAAATTATGTTTATTTAGAAATGAACAGAAGGTCTGGTCCACACCAACACGACACACAGGGGCGGGAGAGTGACGCAGGGACTTTGACAGGCAACCTGGCTGAAGGTGGATGGTGGATGAATCAAGAGTCTGAATCTGAAGAGTCTGAAGAGTTTTTTATTTATTTTTATTTATTTATTTTTTCAAGCAAAGAGTGTAACAACAGAAAAGATATACAACAATAGTAATAATAATAATAACTTATACACTTATGCTTGAAATGGAGTGGGGAGAAGTAAAACTTATTGAACCCCACCCCAGTCTGTCAAAGAATTTTTACAAACAAAATAGCAGCTTCCTTCAATAATCGCAAAGAGAGAGAAAAAAAAGAAGAAAAAGATATATATATGTATAAAATAAATAATAGTAATAATAGTAGCTCATTGAGAAACAGTATTGTAGTTGCACACGTGCAAAACCACACATATTCATAATATACAAATATTACCTCAGGTAACAGTGATTATCAAATACCAACAATGGTAGACGGAATACCACAAGGGTACATAACAATAACATACAGCTACCAACAATGGTAGACGGAATACCACAAGGGTACATAACAATAACATACAGCTACCAACAATGGTAGACGGAATACCACAACAATAACATACAGCTACTAACAATGGTAGATGGAATACCACAAGGGTAAATAAACTAATCCAACACTCCACACAATATGAATACAATCAAACCTCATTACCATTGTAAAGGGACCAGACCTTTTGTTTATAAAGACGTTTGAAATTGTGAATGCTTTAATTCCGGCCCCAGATTATTCCACAAAGTAACCCCCTTACCACAAAGTTGGGACCACAAAGTTTCCAAATCCTCTCAAACTGTACGACTGCTCTTTTTGAGAAAACATATTTTGAATGTTCACAGGTAATAAATAGTGATGCACTTTGAACATGAACTGTGCATTATATAATTTTACAAGATCCTGCATTTTTAATACCTTTGATTTGAGAAAGAGAGGATTTGTGTGCTCAAAATAGGCGACCTTGTGTGTAATTCGTACAGCTCCTTTCTGTAGCAAAAAAAGTGACTGTATTACATTTTTGTAATTATTGCCCCATACCTCTACACAGTAGGTTAGATATGGCTGTATTAAAGAACAATACAAGGTATGGAGTGCATTATAATCAAGGATATGTTTAACTGGTAACGCTTCCTTTTACAGTACAGTACTTACGTGTACTTACAGTGTACTTACCTAGAAAGTACTGGCTAATATAAGGTAAGTACATGGGTTAGGGGTAGGTTTAGGGGTAGGTTCAGGGTTAGTACCTAGTTATTACCCAGTAATTATAATTACTATAATAACATAGTAAGTACATGGGTAACAGGACTGTAAAAGGAAGCGTTACCGTTTAACTCTACTAATTATAGCAATGCTTTTGGAGACTTTAGTAGTTATATGTCTGATGTGGGCATTCCAACTTAACTTATAGGGCCCTATCTTGCACCCGGCGCAAATGACTTTGTACACTGACGCATGTATCATTCCTATTTTGCAGCCGCGCAAAGCGGGCTTTTCCCTCCACAGACGCACGTCGCTAAACTAGGAAATGAACTTCCGCTCCCTGGGCGGGTCGGCGCAAAAAGGAGGCGTGTTTCGGCGCAAACATTCCCTAGTGCTATTTTGCTGTTCCAGAAAACAATTCCGCCACTGACCAGAAAAAAACCTAGTCTAAAGTCAGTGGCGCGTTGCGCGTTGTTCATAATGCTATTTTAAGCGCGCATGCTTGGCCATAATGTAGCGGGTGCACAACGCGCATACACTTTGATTCTCTCATCAACACAGATGCAGCAGTTTTTATTTTTGCAAATCATAGGCTACATTATAACAAGGAAAAATATTAACACATGAGGGAAATCATTGTGGTGTCCATGAAGATATAAAAAAAATGTAGTTTTTTTCCTCCCACGCCTGTTTAACCGACGCTGATTTGGGTGGGTTTCTCCCATCCCCATACAACGTCACTTCTCTGTCTTTCACGGTCCTGACAAGAACGTCGGTCTGTTCTGCTGTGAACCGCTCCTGGCGCGCGCCTGGTAAATCCGCCGTTATAATAGCAATCCGCCATGCAACATGCGCACCTGCTCTTAAAGGGAATGTGAGATGACGCTCTGATTGGTTTATTTCACGTTACGCCCAAACCACACCTATGAATAATGAAGCTACTTCAGACCAACCCCTTTTAGATTTGCGCCAGGCGCAAGAGGCATTTATCCCGCCGGGAAAATAGCAACAGCGCCGGGATCCGCCCACAAAGTTACTTGCGCTTTGCGCTTTGACACTTGCGTTTCAGAACGTTAAAATAGGGCCTATTATCTTTCTGGCCAAGAAAGAATAACCTTTTCCAGCTAAAGTAAATCAAGTAGCAGGGTAATAGCATAGGTAGCTAGATCAAGATGTTTAAGCGACTTTGATATTTTTGTGAGTGGCAAACACAGAGACAATAAGATGTGAATATAATGGTTTAATAAATGAAACTACGGTAGGCTACACACACAACTAAACTAAGCAAAGATTGTATACAGAATCAAGAAAGTAAAGTGAAGAAAGAGAGAGAGAGAAGCTACGAAAAATATCAGAGAATCAGGGTCACCTTAAAGGGGCACAATAACTTAGAAACGCATCTAAAGGCTGAAAACGGGTACTTGCATTGGTTTTGGTTGCTGAACAAGTCCAGATGCAGGAGATTCTTGAAGATTTTTGCCAGGAGTGCTCTGACGCATTCGTTTGGGTTCTTGGGGTGGTCCACGTTG